GGCACCCCCTAGACCCTAGACCCTAAACCCTAGACCCTGGACCCTAAACCCTGAACCCCAAACCCTAAACCTAAACCGCAACCCCTAAACCCTGAACCCTAAACTTGACACTGCGAAAAAGACCGTCAAGCTTCCAGCCTCGGGTCTTGCCACCCTGCGAGGAAGGGAGGGCTGGGGTTTAGGGATTAGGGTTTAGGGTTTAGGGTTTAGGGCTTAGGGTTTAGGGTTTAGGGTTTAGGGTTTAGGGTTTAGGGTTTAGGGTTTAGGGTTTAGGGTCTTGGGTTTAGGGTTTCGGGTTTAGGGTTTAGGGTTTAGGGTTTAGGGTTTAGGGTTTAGGGTTTAGGGTTTAGGGTTTAGGGTTTAGGGTTTAGGGTTATGGTTTAGGGTTTTGGGTTTAGGGTTTAGGGTTTAGGGTTTAGGGTTTAGGGTTTAGGGTTTAGGGTTTAGGGTTTAGGGTTTAGGGTTTAGGGTTTAGGGTTTAGGGTTCAGAACTTAGGGTTTAGGGTTTAGGGTTTAGGGTTTAGGGTTTCGGGTTTAGGGTCCAAGGTCTTTCTTTGTCGGTGCTGTAGGACTTTAGGGGTTTGTGGTCGAGGGTTTTGGGGTGCTGGAGCTTGCTTGGGCGCTACCCTATGCATATGCAAGATGACGGTTTATAGTTGTCTGATATGTATATGTATACGTATATGCATGTGAGTGTGTGTGTGTGCGTGTGTGGTGTGTGATCTATACAAACGCACGACGATGAAAAGAAGCGCCAGCTTATCCCTTTTTTCCGAAAAGGCATAGGTTTACGGTTTAGGGGCTAAGGGGTGGGGAAGGGTAACATGGTGTACGACTTTTTGCCCAAAACCATAGACCCTAAACCCTAAACCCTAAACCCTAAACCCTAAACCCCAAACCCAAACCCTAAACCCTAAGGGCTCAGGACTCGCAGCTTGAGATGTAGGGCCCGGTCTGAAGTGGCTAGAAGTTCGGGAGCTTAGGGTTTGGGGTTTGGGGTTCAGGGCAAAGTCAATTGCTATTGGGCTTCCGGGCTGAGAGACCTGTTGGGACCCTAAACCCCTGAGCCCTAAACTCCAAAACCCCCTGCCCCTACCCTGCCCCTACACGCCTACACCCCGAAATCCCTAAACCCCCAAACCCCCAAACCCTAAACCCCAGAAACCCCTAGACCCTCAACCCCTAAGAACCCCCAAAACCTAGTCCCCTCAACCCTTCAGAACCCCAAAACCCGAAACCCTAAACTCTAAACCCCAGAAACCCCTAGACCCTCAACCCCTAAGAACCCCCAAAACCCAGTCCCCTCAACCCTGCAGAACCCCAAAACCCGAAACCCGAAACCCTAAACCCTAAACCACCAAAAAAAGCAACTCCCGTGCCGCGTCCCATATTCTGGGGGCAAAAGCCTTGGGGTTCGATCTTCCACTGGGGCCCGACCGCCCCAGGCCTTCGCCTTTGCGTGCAGGGTTGAGGGTTGAGGGTTGAGGGTTGAGGGTTGAGGGTTTAGGGTTGAGGGTTGAGGGTTGAGGGTTGAGGGTTGAGGGTTTAGGGTTGAGGGTTGAGGGTTTAGGGTTTGGAGTTTCGGGGTTAGGGTTTCGGGTTTAGGGTTTATGGTTTAGGGTTTAGGGTGTGCAGGGGTTTACGGTTTCGGATGTAGGGGTTTAGGGATCAGGATTTAGGGTTCAGGGTCTAGGGGTTTGGGGATTGGGTTCAAGCTTCCGGGTTTCGGGTTCAGGTTAGACGAGCTGAACACGGTAAGAAACCCTGGGTTTACAAGCGGGTTGCGGTTCGGCTGAAGGCTGTTTTGGGTCTCCGCATATCACTTGCCGCCTTGTCCCTTCGGCCCTGCAACCCTAAACACAAACCTAGGACTTTACCCTAAACCCTAAGAGCAACCACGGAGAGAACCCTGTTCTTTTCACCTGTGCAGATCCCTGATCGCACGTGATCGTGGGTTTGGAAAAACCCGCAGTTGACCTTTGGTGCAGGTTTTAGGGAAGGGGTTTTGGGGCAGGGGTTCGGAGGTGTAATATAGGGGTCGGAAGAATTACTCATATTCTTCCCTTAGGGTCCATTTATGATGATATTGTTTAGGCCCCTAAATTGCGGGTTTGGGTTTGAGGGCTCGAAAACCCCCTTACTTAAGGAATATCCCCTAACTTATAATTCTGATCCTTAATATAAATTAGGGTATACTCTTAAGGAATATACCCTAGCTCATAATTATGATCCTTAGTATAAATAGGGTATACTCCTTACTAAGGGGGTTTTGGAGAAGATCTGGGCTCAGGTTGCTGATGGTTTTGGGTTCGAGCTGGGGACATGCCCAGAGACACTTTCTGGAGCCAAAGGAAGTCGCAGAGGAGGCCCCGAACCCTGAACCCTGAACCCTGAACCCTAAACCCTAAACCCTAAACCCTGAACCCTAAACCCTAAACCCCCAAACCCTAGACCCTAACGCCAGGAATCAGGAGGCCTCCAGCCGAAACCCTGCATGTCAGACCTTGCTGTCGTCCCCAAACCCTGCCAAGCCCTGGAGTTGGGTTGAGGGTTTAGGGTTTAAGGGTTAGGGTTTAGGGTTTAGGGTTTGGGGTTTAGGATTTAGGGTTTAGGGTTTAGGGTTTAGGGTTTAGGGTTTAGGGTTTAGGGTTTAGGGTTTAGGGTTTAGGGTTTAGGGTTTAGGGTTTAGGGTTTAGGGGCTTGATCCCCAACACACAAGAAGTACTGAGCAGGGTCGCCGGTGGTCGGACTGGCCATCCCGGCACCCTGCAGGTGAGACGCTAGTATTAGGGTTCAGGGTTTAGGGTTTAGGGTTTGGGGTTTTGGGTTTAGGGTTTAGGGTTTAGGGTTTAGGGTTTAGGGTTTAGGGTTTAGGGTTTAGGGTTTAGGGTTTAGGGTTTAGGGTTTAGGGAACCAATGAAAAGTGTACTTATCACCCACTTACAAGCCTCTTAAGTACCCTAATCAGAACATCCTATACTTCGGGGAAAGGATTCGCGGGAACCTTGGGGATTTAGACCCTCTGAATAAGGCCCCTGTTTAAGAGAGCCAGAAGAGGGTTAAGAAGGCTTCCGTTTCAGGTTTTGGGCTCAGAAGTGCAACCTTCAAGTTACATCCGGAAAGTAAGGCCCACAAAACCCGGACGCTTTTGCACATCTCTCATAAAGAAATTCAAAACAACACGGACCGAAAGCCCAAGCCCTTCCCAACTACCTCGCAGCTGCGCGCTGTCAGTGCACTGCGGCTAAGAATAGAACGGCATGGCGGGCAGGGAACAGCACAGACCCTTGAAACCCTGGTCTTTCGGGCTGTAGGCCTCCTGCAGAAATAGTCTCATGATCTGGGTTTGGGGCTGTTTCGGTGGTTAGGGGCTTTAGGGCAAAATGGAGCAAACGTCGAGTGGGGCTGCTGATGCTATAAGCAAGCCATATTCGAGCAAGCGCGTGGCATCCAATATGGCTGGTACCATCCCCCGATGCTTCCTGAAGCTGCATCGCACATTTGAGCCCATGCCCGCCAGTTGTACACAGAGCATGTGCAAGGAAGCCGGGACATGCAAGGACCCAAACGTCGTGGTAAGAGTGAATTACTTTGACCCATCCTTCCCCCTCCCTTGGGCAGGCCGCGGAGTTCGGGTTTAGGGTTTAGGGTTTAGGGTTTTAGGGTTTAGGGTTTACGGTTTAGTGTTTAGGTTTGGGGTTTTGGGTGTAGGGTTTAGGCTTAGGGTTTAGGGTTTAGGGCTTAGGGCTTAGTATGCCAGGCAGTTGGCCCAGGATTGCTGCTGCTTCCAGCATCTATGCCTTGAAGCCACTTTTCCTGCGCGCCAGGCCTATTGCTCAAACACTAGCTTGCCCGATAGGGGCCCTAAACCCTAAACCCTAAACCCTAAACCCTAAACCCTAAACCCTAAACCATCCCAGATCTGACGGCAAAAATTTGAGGCGCACGACTCGAAGCCCTTCACAGCCTTGGTAGCCCAGTAACCACATCATAAGAAGGGCACCCCTTTTTTTGGGGGTTGGTTACTTCATAAGGGAACCTTGAACCAAAACAAGGGAGAAGAGGGTATCACCGGGCTACCAAGCAGCAGAGGGCAACACCAAACCCCGGAACAAAGGGGTCAGTTCTGAGCCTCGAAAAGCCTCGAGTCACTTGACGCCCATACAGCGAAATCCTACCTTGTGCAATCGTACTGTCAACCTTACCCACGGACATGCCATGCTGTTGTTCTTGGCGCGGCAAGGTGATGATACGACGCGTAACGCATAGCTGTCCAGCCCTTCGCAGCATCCGGTTCGTGTTCAAGAGGGTGCCCAAGCAACACGACATTCACCACGTCGCGGAACCCTGCGAAAGCAACACACGACTGGGCAGTATACGGTAGCTACTAAAAGGCGCCCATCCAGGGTGGTGATCTTCTTTGTGCAAGTGTTCTCCGTGCACTTCTGACAAATGGATTTGAAATCATGGAAACAGAAACCAGATCATTGCAACTTCTCAAGCCCAGAGAAGCGCCACTCACCCGCAAGCTACGTCCGATGTCGGACTCCGTGCCTGACGATATGTACAGGTGTGCACGTCTCAGGCAAGCACGTGCTCACAAGTCTTCCTTCCGCTGCGGCGCGGTTTCTGCCTGACTTTTCGCGTGAATCTTTGCCGAATGGAGGAAGTGCAGCACTGCATCGCGCAGCATTGCATTGCATTCCAGCGCTGCGTTGCACTGTGCGCCAAATCCGCCAAGAATCTGGCACATTATCCCAAGGGCTAGCCACCCTGCAGCCTGGTCCGCTAGCCACCCTGCAGCCTGGTCCTCCTCAGGTACGTCGTCTCCCAGGAGCCTTAAAGACAGGGCGAGGTGGTCGTGCGCTTCTTCCAAGCGCCCCTGCGCCTTCAGGCGCGTGCAAAACACAAAGAGGACGCTGGCCAGTTCCTCGGTCGTTGGACTTGCCTCGCGAAAGTGGCGGATGGCCTTGCACACATATTCAGCAGCTTCCTTGTCATCATGAACCTTTCAGCTGAAAAGCCACACACGTATTGCCGACTCGATGTGGCTCTCGCAGTCCCCAAGGGCTGGGGCCGCTGCCGAACCTTTGCGGATTGCAAAAGTCGACGTTGCACCCTCTGCACCAAAGCCCGGAGAGTTCATGTCCCAGTACCTCGCCACACTCATCACAAAAGCGGCGGCCGCTCTCAGGCGACTCTTCAGGCGGCCTCATCTCGCCATGGCAAGATGGGCAAACGGGCTCGGCCGAACTGGCCAGAACTTCTAGGAGCTGTCGGCGTACAACTTGGAACTCCTCGAGGTTCTGCTCCTCGGCTCTGCACCGCAGATGTTCGAGCTGAGTTTAGGGGGTTAGGGGCTTTAGGGGGTTTAGAGGTTTAGGGTTTAGGGTTGAGGGTTTAGGGTTTATGGTGTAGCGAGCTGTTTCACCACAATCCAAGGGCTGGTGACATGCTTCGGAGTCAAGTACTTGGAGGTTCATGCGTGCGTATGAGTAGGGTTCGAAGTTCCCTAAGTAAAGGTATAACCATAGTTACCCTACTTGTAACCCTACTCAGAAGTACCCATGAACCTCCAAGCAGCCCTCGTCATGAAACCAGGAATAGCTGCTGATGAAACCCTGAACCGCACGAATGGGATTCCCCAAACATTATGGCCCTTTTTGGGAAACCCTAAATATTGGGGCCGCCTTATGATAGTCAGCCCAAAGGGCCCTATTTTCTAGAAGTGAGGCTTACGAGATAACCTGCAGGGGTTTGGGGTTTCAGGAATGTTGTTTTAGGGCTTTTGGGGGGTTCCCCCAGGAAAATACACACAAGCTTCCTGCTCCGTCTCCAATGCCAATTCCGCAGGCAACCCCGTGGAAGGGGCAGCGCCGGGCGGGGCCTAGCACAGAAGGGCTTGCGGCTAAGGGTTGTTTCTTCAGGGGCAAACCTGGACCACAGTGCCTTCAAGTGTGCTCGAGCTTCTGGGACGAAGACTTGGCTGCACTTAGGAGGGTAGCTATAAATTAAACTTTTAGCTGCCTTACTAGGAAACCCAATAAACCCAAAAAAGCTAAGGATTTAAAGTTACAGTAAAGCACTACAAAGAAGAAAGGAGGGGTTTTAGGGTTTAGGGCTGGGCAGAACGCACGTCTTCCTGCGCTTGGGGTGGATCCTGCCAGACCTCCGGAGCAGCGGGGGGAAGGGGGGTTGAAGTTGGAATTGGGCGCCAAAGAGTTTTAGGGTTTAGGGTTTACAGTTTAGGGTTTAGGGTTTAGGGTTTAGGGTTTAGGGTTTAGGGTTTAGGGTTTAGGGCTTAGGCCTAACGAAGATCTCCCAAAAAAAAACAATCTCCGCATTGCCTGGGCTTTCAGAACGGAGTTCCTGGTCGGGTCCGTGGGGCAGCTCGTGGCGTAGGACTCCTCAGCTTTGTGACCCAGGCGGATCCTGGCTAGCTTAGGCACTTCAGGGTTTAGGGTGTAGTGTTTAGGGTTTCGGGCGGCAAGAGTAGCCTAGAAATAAGCATGGTGGCCTTTTTTGGCCTACAGGGGGCTTTTGAGGGAACCCAAAACCTAAAAGAACGGGAATAAGGGGCCTACTCTGAGTCCTAGTTGGCCCTGTTGACTAAAGTCCCCTAAAATAGCCCTCGCGAATCCATAATGTATTTTCTTCCCCCTGAATTTCACATACAAACAAGACAAACAACTCCGAAGTCCTAACGGGACTAAGTTGAGCGGAGCAAGACTTCGGCGCAAAAAAATCGGTTTAAGGCTTGGGGTTTGGGGCTTGGAGTTTAGGGTGTAGGGATTAGGGATTAGGGTTTAGGGTTAAGGGCTTCCAAAACCCCTTATTTAAGGAATATACCCTTAAAAAATAAGGATTGCTATTATTCCTTAACTCAGGGGTTGTGGAAGATCTGGGTACCACAGCCCTTAACTAAGGAATATACGTTGATTGTTAGGATCCCTATCCTGACTTAAGGTATATTCCAAAGAACTCTTCTTTGCATGGGGGCGTCTACGGGGTGCTCTAAACTGTTCCCGCAATAAAAGTAGCATGACGAGCTCAAGAGGTTACATCCTCAAAGTGAACGCACGGTATAAGGAAGTGAGAGAAAGAAGTGAACGAACGAACACACACGCGCCGCATGAATTATAGGATACAGCAAAAAAGGCCTGTTCATTTTGTATTGCTTAGTGCCCCAAAAGCCCAAGTTACAACTAGGCAGCCCTCATTGAACTCTCAACCCACAACAAGGGCAAGCATCTGAGGCTGCCCGCCCATCCTGGTCCGCCTGCGCACACTACACCACTCCTACTACTTGCTTAAGACCAAAAAGGCAAAATATACCTCATATTTCCCTTATAAGGAAGAATATTGTGTTTTCTCGAGGGTTCTTAAGCAATCCGTAGGCTCCTGTTGGGGAAATTTTACAAAGCCTTCCCAGAACTTTGCGTAGTTCACACCGCCCGGTGCAGTGACGGGCGGATGTGGGGGGTCCTTCAAACACTACGTTTCCATGAGTAGCTAGAAGTTGTTACTTGTGTCTGGAACATACGAATGTAAGGCCAGTCTTTCAAAGAATCCAGTGATGTTGTTGGGACAGGGACGACCAATGACCCCTGAGGTTTCGAGCCTTGACAGAACTCTTCGGTTTAGGGTTGAGGGTTTGGGGTTTAGAGTTTGGGGTTTAGGGTTCAGGGTTTAGGGTCGCAGGGTCCGACCTGGCGCTCCCCCGTCTTGCGCGGCGGGGCGTCCGCGTCGCCCACCTCGTCCTGCAACGCAATGCAGGGAAGCTTTCCTTGCTTGGCTGCACTTAGGAGGGTAGCTATAAATTAAACTTCTAGCTGCCTTACTAGGAAACCCAATAAACCCAAAAAAGCTAAGGATCTAAAGTTGCAGTAAAGCACCACAAAGCTTGGGTCGACTGCCTCTACCTATACTGAACTTGGAGCCCGAGCAAACAACCTTTTTCTTGCTGTTTCTTCGGAATTGTAGTACCCTCCCAAGTGTCCCGAAGTTACGAGTACGATGTTTTCCAAGGTGGTGGTTTGGGGCTTAGACTTTAAGGGGTTCAGGATTTCGGGTTTGGGGTTAAGGCCTCGGGTTTAGGCTCGGGGTGGAGGCTCGGCTCCACCCTGAATGCAAATTCTGCGAGTAAGGTATGGCACGAAATCTGCGAGAAACGTCATACGCAACTTCTCGACCTTCAGCCCTCAGGGTTCAGGATTCCGGGCTCAAGGCGAGCCTGAAATCTTGAATCCGGATCGCTTGATTAAGGGGGGGAGGTGGTGGAGTGTTCAGCTTCAGTTTCTGTGTGGGGGGGGAAGGGATCAAGGGCATGGGCAAGTCGCCGACATGGTGTTTGCCCAAGACATCCCAAACCCTAAACCCTAAACCCTAAAAAACTCTAAACCCTAAACCCTAAACCCTAAGCCCTAAACCCTAAACCCTAAACCCTAAACCCAGCACAGGCTGTTTTCGGTCATGCGTTGACATGTCCGTCTGCAGGTGGAGCCTCGTGCCGTCGTTCGAGGTGGTACGTTTCTGAGCCGTCTGAGCATCTACTGGACCTCTCACTATGGTTTCCGGTTTGGATCTTCCCCCTTATACTAACAGTCCTTGATAGGAATTATAATGGCGGGTACTAATCCCAATTAAGGACTGTTAGTATAAGGAGAAACATCCCAAGTTTCCGGCACAAATTCACCACCAGTGACCTGGGCAAACGGCCCTCCCAGCCTAGGCCCCACAACATGCAAAAGACTCCGATCCGCTTCGCATCCAATTAGGGTTTAGGGCTTAGGGCTTAGGGCTTAGGGCTTAGGGCTTAGGGCTTAGGGCTTAGGGCTTAGGGCTTAGGGTTTAGGGTTTAGGGTTTAGGGTTTAGGATTTGGGGTTTGGGGTTTGGGGTTTGGGGTTTAAGGTTTAGGGTTTAGGGTTTATGCCTGCCCTCCCGCCTGATCGGACGACTCGCTGACCTGCGCGTGGAGATCCGATGCAGAAGCTCTGTGCGCGCAAGTAGTTGGGTGTTGTTGATGCACTGGTTCCTGGGGTTTCTACTCGTACCTGCTTGTCCAGGGGCTTGCCAAATGTTCAACGTCAGTGCCAAGGGCACTGACAGATGGCTTGCCGACATGGGCACACACATTCTCACATCGTCATTTTAATGATATCAGACTACGATCATATTGATGTACTAGAATATTCGTAGGTGATTACAAAACACTTCTTAATTCTCAGAACATCAGAATTTCAGATACTATCATATTAACATATGATTGTACAAGTATCTTATCATACTCTCATCTTAAGCACAGCATTGGTATTTCATAATAACATGCTATTGCACGATTATACATTATCACACTAAACTATCCCAGTGAGCGCATGCAAGTGTAGCCAGAGACATGTCAGTCTCAGCTGTGCTGTCGGTTTATGCCCTTGCTGCCTGCCGGTAGTTTCTTTTGCATGTTTGTACACAGTTGACAGTTTTGGGCTCAAGATAAGCACGGCAGAATAGCTTGGCTTTTTGGGTAGCTTTCGGCCGCATGCAGCCGCTGTGGGGCGCTATGTCAAGAAGACTGCAAACGGGCCTGCACGATTGCGCTGGGTTGCAAGTCCGTGGGCTTGTCTTCGCAATTGGGGCCATTCTCGGAAACTCGAAGAGTAGCCCCAGGTGTGCGCGCGTGCGGCCTGTGAGAAGCAGCCTCCTGGCTGCCCTGCGGCTCGACCGTGCTCCGCGCTGCGCTTGAACGACCGCCGGAAGTCATGTCGTACCTTCAGTGACTGAGACCGGCACTCGCCCCACCAAGCGCCGAGGGCCTGTCAGGGCTGCCCCCCCCCCCCCCCGGTCTTCGGAGAGCCTCCTGCCAGACATGAGGGAGCCGGTAGCAGAGTACCTCACCAAAGTGAGCCGGATCGTTCTGGCCCAGAACTGGCGATGGTTCTCCCCCACTGGAGAAATGCCTCCTCAAGGCTAGCATCTTGTGCCAGTTAGCGGGGACTGGCAGGAGGTGGAAAACCATGAGCTGCACCTGTCGTACCTGCGGAAGACGCCCATCTTGAAGAAGAAGATCCGGAGCGGCAAGTGGATCCGGCTGGAGCTCAGGCCCTGGCAGATGCCAAGAAGCAGATGGCTCACCTAAAGGCTCAGGCGAAGCCGCCCAATCCCACCCTACCGCTGAAAAGGAATCTGCTTCGCACAGGAACTGGCCGAAGGGGGACAGCTTCCCGTACTTACCGTTTACGGCGCGTTCTGCGTCCAGATTGGGAGCGCGGGCACGCATGTCGCCTCTCAGGGGAACTTCCGAAAGGCGGCAAGATCTGCCCCGTGGAGAACGGTGGGTTTTTTCAGGGACGCTCACCTCTGTGGATGAGCTGTGACAGGGAGGTCCTGCTTCAGAAGCGCTGACACTGGAGCCAGCGTGCCGTTGAGGCGGTTCCGGCTGTTTGGACTACCGGGGCCCAAGAAGGCATGATACTTCTGACCTGCGGTGACCACGCGGTCTGAGTTGAGCCAACTGAGCTCGTCGCCAAGGTCAGTCGAGACCGCCATCTGCGGTTATGGCAGTCTGTTAGCACCCCAGTTGTGAGAACTGCGGGGTTGGGAACTCGCCTGGCTGGACGCGAGCAGGACACCGCGGCGGCAGCGGCACCTAAGGAGCGCCTACGGGCTCCGGCAGGGTGGCCTCGCCCAGGTCGTTGCAGTCGGCCCCAAGACGAGTGAAGTATCGAAAGAAGCTTCGCTCCTTCCGAAGCTGGGAGGCTGCCCAGGCCAGAAAGGTCCAGCCGAGACCGCCACTGGCGCGGCGCCGTGAGGAAGGGGATCCCAGCGGACAATAGCGGACAGCTGATGATGCCGGAAGGGAGGCGCCCAAATTCCCATTGGCTGGTTGCACCAAGCGAACCCATCCAACACCCCCCCAAGCTGCGGAAAAGCATGCGCCTACATCGCCCACCACATTTTCGCAACTCGAAGCGTCGCAAACCTCAAACGGGCACGACACCTAGACAGGAGCATGATTTCGAGTACGGAACGTGCACGTGTCCTGGGCAGGAGCGCGATTTGGTGCCCTCTACGATGCTCAGCATGCTATGCAGTATGTGCAATGACAGCCACTTTCATCCTGAACCGGGCTTTAAGAACTCCGGACATTAGCGACTACCTGTTCGACCCTGCGTGCCTGAACAGCCCATGCACTGCCAAAAGCAAGGACAGAGTTTGCCCAATGAGACCATGTTACGTCCCCAGAGAGCCAAAAACCCCTTCATTCAGGACTATACCTTAAAGTATATCGGCGTCCTGAATATGATTTAAGTTATTATTCCTTATTTTAAGGGGCATTGGGCTCTTTACGTCGTAAGATGAATGAATTGTGGCCCGTTCTTGTCCGCGAGCGACACGTGCAGCGTCAGGTTACGTATGCTGTGAACCTGAAACCCCTTCAGGGTTTAGGGTTTAGGGTTTAGGGTTTAGGGTTTAGGGTTCAGGGTTTAGGGTTTAGGGTTTAGGGTTTAGGGTTTAGGGTTTAGGGTTTAGGGTTTAGGGTTTAGGGGTTAGTTTCCATCGACCCAAGCACGGCCCAGTCTCTTCCCAAAGTCAACGGAGTGCAGCTCGGAATGCTTCTGCTTTGCTCGGTAAAACGGCTCGCCGCAGGGCAGCCTCTCACCCAAGGTTTGCCTGTTTAAGTCATGTCCCAAATGCCTTAGAGGTGTTTGAACCTGTTTTTCCTTGCTTGGAAGTAGTGCAGTCAAGAGTCTTGCAAGTGTTTAAAGGCGTTTCACGTCTTGGTACGTTGGCTCAAGACCGGAGCGTGCGAGCATAAAGTGAGAAGCGCGCAGGGCTTGTTCTAAGTCTCCTTCATGGGTGGTGTCAAGTTCCTGGCCCTGCCAGAACTAGAACGCACAACCCTTTCTGCACCCTCTTGGCACATCCCGGACGCCCACGTGGCATCGACATGTTCACTTAGAGGCACAAATGCAGGACCCGCAAAAACTCGCGTATTGGGCTCTTCTGTTTGCGGTAGGAGCACCACGCTCCGCTCAACTCTGCCGCTGCTAGGGCACTCGTCAAAACCAGAGCAGGGAATGTGCAACGGAACCCGGCAATGGTATTGCCCTAAACCCTAAACCCTCAACCCTAAACCCTAAACCCTTCGTTGCTGAGCGGCATCAACCCCGCCTCGGAGATGCTCTCGTCCGCTCCGACGTCCAGGACGCACAGGGGGAAGCAATCATGGCCTTCCGGCTCGCCATCAGCCAGCACTCGTCCGTATCTGTCCTGACCACACGGGCGTGGGTTTGGGAGCCCTCTGAAATTTTAAAATGTTCTGGCTTTATCAGGACTATGTCGGGGATTAAGGGTCATAAAATTCCAAACTACTTGCGAAGCTACCACTGGAAGTGGGACAAAGTGCATGCAGGGCAAGTGCCATAGGGGAGCTCTTGTGACATTAAGAAGCAGCCCACACGCAAGGTCCCGCACAGCAACGGTGCCAGGAGGTTGCCCTACCAGCGTTATCAGCGTCTGCAAGTCCCTTTGCCAAGTGTCCGAGAAGTGCACCTTAGCTTCTGCACGACCGACCAATTCAGACAGTGACATTGCATCGACACATCCTCACACTTGACACCCCTTATATACTTGCACTACGACATAAGCAACCCTTCAAATTCCGAACAATGACCCCAAGAGAGGCGAGGGCCCTGCAAAAAACAAAACGACAAAAAACGCTGGCATGGCTCCTCCCGTTTCGGAACAAAGGTGACGTGGCTGTCCTGCGAGGGATGTCGGTTGAGACAAGAACCAGTTGTGAGCTTGACAGTGCTTTCTATTATTTTATGATCAGGATTTTGCAAGACCAAGGCGATGGAAGGCACCTATTCCTCCCATAAGCCAAAGCTGTATAGGGAAGAAGTGTCCAGTTCTCTGAACGGGGTAGCCAAGGCCAGACATTCACCCGTAGGGGATAGGATTAGGGGGACCCTTGGAAATAAAGACCCTTTCAATAAGGTCCCTGCTTATGAGAGCCAGAAGGATTCCCTTTCGAGGGTCCCCCTAGTCTTGCCAAGGAAGACTAGGAACCCAAACCCCTAAACCCCCTAAAATCCCTAAAATGTTGGGAAATTTCGCGGCCCGAAATCCGCTCGTCTCCTGTTGTAGGCCTGAGTCCTGTTCACCCTGCCACAACGAAAACGAATCTTGAAGCATGATTGTGACTGTGGACAAGGGTTTAGGGCTCATGGTTTCTAGGGTTTAGGGGCAGGAGTCTTACTCACCCAAAGCATGATTGCGACTACCGACAAGGTCAGAAGCAGCAACAGATGCCAGCCTTGTACCCTCGCTTCAAGCGCCGCAAGCACAGCCTGCGATTGAGCTGCGGCACTGGAAAATTAGGCCATTTTTTTGGGCTTAGGGCTTCGGGTTTCTCCATCCTGATCAGCAAACACAAAAAAAGCACAGGATGGCAGAGAAGTGGACACCGAGGAGCAGGATCTTCCGGGCAGCCAGCTGAGCGTCTTCCAACGCAGGCGCAGATGTGGCATGGGCCATCGGATCCGAGATCTGCAAGACGTCCTGAAGTGCCTGCACTCAGAGCAATGGGAGGATCCAAAAAGTAGACTTCCTGGGGATAGTACCCTATACTACTATTGGGTCCTTCTTGGGAACCCTGAAAAGGATCTAGTTTTTGGATCCTCCCACCGGGCTGGGCAGGTGTTGAGGGGTCGTCTAAGCTTGGTTTTCGGTCCGAAACTCTCGAAAGTACCAACGCCTGAAATCCCCGCAACGAAGAACTTCATCAGTTTTCTCAAGCGTGTTGCGCCTCTTTGTCGGCCCAACCGTTGTCTGGCACGTCAGCTCGCAGCTGCCGCAGTTCCTGAAGATCCGAATCCCGCGGACGGAGGATCACGTGCGCCAGCCGCTTGATGACCTTCGCGGCACGCAGGCGCGTGGCTGCCACATTCTGCCCTGCCCACATCGTGCCGTTGGCAAGCTCATGAATCATCTTGAACGCGTGTCGCTGGATTTGCTGGATTTTCTGCCTCAACAGTTCATAGTTGGGCCTTGGTCTCTGTACAGGCTATAACAAAACCGCACCACTCTAATACCATCTGTCAATGGCACGGGCAGCAAAGCACCTACTATAGGGGCCTTACTAAATAGAGTAGGGTTTAGGGGGGATGTTATAGTAAAAAATATAGGGACCATGAGGAAATACTATCAGTATTTGCGCCGACCCCTATATTATGCTGCTCAGCAGCACCACGTTGATCACTTTGCCCTTCAGGCCGGCAGTTTCTGTTGTGTCCTGCAGAGCCTAAACCCTAAGCCCCAAGCCCTAAACCCTAAACCCGACATAAGCCCTCTCAGCAATCAACGGAAACTTTCATGGATCTACAGGCTGTTGCACTTGTGGACGCCCGCAACCAAGATGAAAATACCTAGCAGCACTAGTCTAGTATCATATAACATACTATACCACAATATAGTACAATATAACGTAATATGAGATATTGCAATTTGATATATAATATGATTTCATAGATAATATAACAATAACAACATATAAAATTATGGAATATACTATAGGAAAATACAATATAGTATAATGGAGTATAACACCATAGGAACATAACACTATAGCATTATGATTGAAGCAATGCTCCCCAAATCTTCCAAAACCCACTTCATTAAGGGAAAAAAACCTAATTGATACTAAGGAATATGATTATGAAGGAGGGTGTATTCCTTATTTAAGGGGTTTGACTATTCCCTAATTTTTCCTAAGGAATATAACACCGTAGCATTGTGATGGAACCCTAAACCCTAAACCCTAAACCCTAAACCCTAAACCCTAAACCCTGAACCCTGAACCCTGAACCCTGTAGCCCTAAACCCGAATCTGACTCCTGGAGCGTCTCCTCACCAAGGCAGAACTGCAACGGCGGAGCCGGCCTGGGCCAGCGCGGACGCGCGCCGCGAGACGGCGCAACGTGGGCATGCTCATCATGCTGAAGCGTTCTACTGTTGTTATATCATATTATACTATCTTATACTGTACTAGACTATACTATACTATACTAGACAATACTATACTATCCTATCCTATACTATACTATACTGAAGTATACTAGTACATTGTCTGTCATATATGTCATATTCTAGTACAGTCTATTGCCCTGACAGAGTTCTGGCCGTGCTCTGACGCTCTGTTCCGACGATGTTCTGCGCTTTCCCACGAGCTTCGAGCCCGACCCCTCGTCGTGCTTAGTCCTAAAGGGTTCTACTCGTGTTATATCATACTATACTATCTGATACTGTACTATACTATACTATACTATACTACGGGCTTCGAGGGCCCGACCCCTCGTCGTGCTCCACCAGGCCCAGCTTGCGAGCAATAGCTGCGCTCTCGGAGCGGAGGGTCGCGTGGCTGTTCACGGACAGCAACTGCACCTGGCGCAGGCCCTAACCGCTATGTCGATTGTTGTGATGATGGCGGTCATCAAGAACGACCGTTTCTGCCAAGATTGCTGTCATCTAGAGCCTACAGGCCTAGAGGCCTTTGACAGGGGTTGAAGGACAAGCCTGTGGCCGGTGTCTTTCAGTTTCCTATCGGGTTCGGGCTTAGGATGGGACTTCGTATAGATGCTGCACCTCCCAAGCCTTTGGGTGAGGCTTCATCGGTTTGGTGGGCGATGTTTCTGTCACATGTCTATCGCTCAGACACAGAACGGGCCAAAACCCGAGGCCAAGAATCACAACAGGACTACTCGCTTGGAGTCAAGACGGCGCCTGGAAGGTATTAGGTTCAGCCGACATGGCGACTTGACAAGCTACAGCAGCTGCACAGCTTGCTGCGATCTCTCCTACATTGGGTTCTTCTGTCACTTAGAAACCCTAAGACTCCACAGGCGAAGTCTGTTTGCAGGTTCAGCGTACTTCTAAGCCCCACATGTACATGTACTTATAAGCCCCCGAAGTCCTCTAAGTAGGTTATTTGTAGACTTAGAATTGGGGTTTTAAGTACCCATGAACCTCCAGGTATCATAGGGGGAGAACGTACTTCAGGCCTCTGGGCATCTGCTGTCAACACGCACCTATTTCGCTACAGAAATACGAATTACTAATCATGGCTGCTTGTAGTCGCACTGAAAACCCTAAACCCTAAATGGCTGCATGAATCAACGAATGAAACCGAAGTTTGGTTCGAAAGTTGTGCCGTTGGGATTGACTTCTGGCAGACATGCGGGGGGTTTACGAAAACTACGGGACCCCTAAAATAGTCCCCCAAATGATTAGTAGGATTCCCCTCTTATAAGGACCCAATAAGATAGCCCTAGTTTCGGAAACCCCCCTAATATGGCGTGGGACGGGCCCTCACACTTCAAAGAACACGAATGGAGAAAGTCCTGCCCGCAAGGAGAAAAATTTGCCCGACGAGCATGCAGCGCTGACATTGGGCAACCACTGAAATGAAACAACCATTTCCCGCTTGCAAAACAAAACAATTCATACTCCGGGTTCTTAGGCAAATGGCACCCTAAACCCTAAGTACGTCGGCCATGCCAGGATGCACAAGATATCCCCCCCATGACATATTTTTGTGTGGCCAATCTGGGATCTGTTGACGATCACGGTCTTGCGAAGCTCACCATTTCCTGTGCAAGAGAAGTTCCTGTGAACATTTTGTGATACGTTGTACAAGAAAAATAGAAGATGGCAAGGATAAATATTGTTTCTGGGGGGGGGGGGGTTCGGAAGCAAACAGTGGTTCTTGCCAGGCTTGCACAGCATCGCTGGAAGCGACCGCTACATATCGCTAAATGGGAGATTCCCATTCACTGAGCCGAAAACAAAAAAACATGCCTGGTGGGGTCTACAAGGGCGCTTATAGGGTTTTGGGGTTGGGGTTTAGGGTTAAGGCTAGGGTGTATGGGGGTAGGTTCCAAAATTAGAAGCTCAAATTTGGTTACGATACTATGAGCACGATAATGATTCTGGGCACTACAATGTTTTCTGTATAGCCCTACTTCTGTACTCGTAACCTAAATTTCGCTCCTTGTCAAGACCCCAGTCAGCAGAAGGGATTCAATCTTAGACATCCATGGCCTTCAGATTTAACACACAAAATTGAGTGCAAAACGCAACTCGCTGCCCAGAAACTACGATGGGGTGCCGAAAAGTCTACATGTCACACGATGTTTTGATGACCAAGAGTTCCGACATGCCTTGCAACTCTAACCCGACTTTCCAGAGCTAGAGCTCAACACTGCTCCGCGGCCCAACAACGGATCTAACCCTAAACCCTAAACCCTAAACCCTAAACCCTAAACCCTAATCCCCCATTTAGTGTGCTATTTTTTTTTCGCACGCAATCTGAATCAGGTGTTAACTGATTCCCAGCACTGGGGCCCGGCCTAGCATTGAGGCCCGACACCGGAGGGCATGGGGTGTTTGGGGTTTAGGATTCAGGGTTTAGGGTTTTGAGGGTTTAGGGTTTAGGGTTTTAGGGTTTAGGGTTAGGGTTTCGGGTTTTGAGGGTTTAGGGTTTAGGGTTTTAGGATTTGGAGGCAAGTTCTCTTGTAGGCCACTACTTCTAACCACTTAGCGTCGGGGCCTGGCGGCTTCCACAGCGATGAGCTGGCGGAATAAAATCTCATGTGCAGCCTCTGTCCTACCTACAGGCGCGCACATGCGATACTTTGAATCAGGCCCCCATACGGCGCTCGCGGCTAAATCGGGCAATTACAGGGTCGTATTATACTGAAAACCAGGACTGAAGGAGACTGCTACTGTATGGGGGCCTTGCCTAAGAGATGCTTAAAAAATGCAATAGGTGCCGCGAACAAAACGCGTGCTGGTGTGTACTGCAGGAAAACTCTGCAACAAACTTAGCTTGCTTTAACCACAACCCTAAACCCTAAACTCTAAACTCTAAACCCCAAAGAAGCCGGGCTCTGAGGGCTCTGAACCCTTGTGCTCATGTTGTGCAAGTCCTGAGGGCACGTCTGCTGGGTTCCCACGCCTTGTAAACCCAGCTCTTCTGCGTCGCGACCCTAAACCTAAACCCTAAACCCTAAACCCTTGCTGGAACTGTATAGAGTCAACACCAAGGTCACCCTAAACCCTAAACCCTAAACCCTAAACCCCTGGATGGAACTGTATAGATTCTATAGACTCAGCACCCAAGGTCAGGGTCAGAATGCTGCTTCTGCTCAACCCCTGAATTCTGAAGTTGACTTTCGGGTTTTTTCTAGGGGTTGTACCTTGGGCCCTTAAGGTTGTAACCTTGGCTTTTGGGGACCCGTTTTAAAAATCCCTAAGAGAATACAAGGGCCATATTGGGAGCATATTTAAGGGGAACCTTGAGGGGTACAACCTTAGGGGTACGAGCGGGACTATTATAAAGGGATTATATAGGGACTACAAAAGGGTTTCACTCTTCCACTCTCCCTTAAGCATCAGTAAGTTTAAGCCCTTGCCTTTTGGAGTTCCTGCTGCGGAAACTGTACGAAACATAGGCCGTTCACTGGGCCCACTCACACATTGGAGAAAAATTGAAGCTGTCATGGCAGGGAAAGCCACTGCTGCGCAAGAGTCTCTAAGAACCTGAAACCCTAAACGCTAAACCCTAAACCCTAAATCCTAAACCCTAAACCCTAAACCCTAAACCCTAAACCCAAGAAAAGCACTGGAACCATCGGTCCTTATAAACAGGCCAGAGATGACTCGGGTACACTCGTGGCCGCTGAGAGCTGGCACGGAAATCATTGACATAGCACTGTACTGTACTATGACATTTTACATACATACATGCATACATACAGACACTATACTGTACAGAGCCCATGCGTGTGCGCCGCAGTAAAGTTACAGCTGACTATCACAGCATTTACAAAGATCGGTATTCCCCAAAAGTGGGGTCCCCCTCAAATCCCCCAAGATACTGGAATCCTTATATAATCGTTGCTACAGGAACCCCGCAAAAAGGGGACCCACGAAGATTGGGAAGGCCCCCCCCCCCCCCCCCCCAATACGTCAGAACACTCCCTAAACCCTAAACCCTAAACCCTAAACCCTAAACCCTAAACCCTAAACCCTAAAACCCTAAAACCCTTTCCAAGTACCCCTAAGCATTCCGCTAGTTCATCCCAGGCCAGGCTGGAGCTGCCTGGCAGCCATGTCAGGGTCTGCAGCTTTGGGGTTTAGGGTTTAGGGTTTAGGGTTTAGGGTCTAGGGTTTAGGGTTTAGGGTTTAGGGTTTGGGGTTGAGGGTTTAGGGTCTAGGGTTTAGGGTTTAGGGTTTAGGGTTTAGGGTTTAGGGTCTAGGGTCTAGGGTTTAGGGCCTAGGGTCTAGGGTTTAGAGTTTTTGTTGCCTGGAATTGCTCTATGGGGCTTAGGGTCTAGGACGTAGCTAAGTGTTTAGGGTGGTTTAGGGTTTAGGGTTTAGGGTTAAGGGTTTAGGGTTTAGGGTTTAGGGTTTAGGGTGTTTTTTTACCCGGAATTGCTCTTCGGCGTCTAGCTTGAGGGCAGCTTGGGCTCGTAACTGGCGTCGTGCTCTGGCGGTTTGGGGGTAGGGCCGGGGTTGAAGAATGCTTGAGAACTTGGCCGTCCCTTGGCAGTCAGTAAGCATCAGCACGCAAAATTCCGCAGATTTCGTCGATGTAGTGGCAATCTAGGCAGGCAAGCTCAGAACTTGAGTACCAAAAACCCTCGTCGGCCGAGACATCGTTTCACAAAGAGAAGAGATGGGGATGACCCTTAACCCTAAACCCTAAACCCTAAACCCTTAACCCTTAACCCTAAACCCTAAACCCTGCACTCTCGTACATGAAGCCGTCAAGTTCTGGCTCCCACACATCCACGGGCTCAGGCTGCACTTTGAGCAGTTCCCAGAGACTCCAAAAAAACCCTCAACTAAGGAATAGATCCTAAATTGTGGGTTTAGGGTTTAGGGTTCAGGGTTTAGGGTTCAGGGTTTAGGGTTTAGGGTTTAGGGTTTAGGGTTTAGGGTTTAGGGTTTAGGGATAGGAAACCTCATATGATTTGAAGTATGTTCCTTAATTCAGTTTTGGACTCTCTGTATTGGTATGAAACCTCAAATGCACTCTGGAAGATGCCTTAAGATATTCCTCTCCTCCTACCAACATGGGGGGGAACACGCCTGCAATCGCCGGCAAAGTCGGCGACGAAGGTATTGTCGGAGCGCAATCGATGTTGACCACCTGCGCGGTAGCCGCAAGCAACAAGTAACCTGCGCCACCTCGGTTGGCGAAAATCCTGGTGTGCCGGCTTTCTCATCGGGACGTCACGCTGATTCAAGCCAACTACGGCCATGCAACAATCGTCACTTGCGCATATTATCAAAATGGGGCGGGCGGGGAGGGGGGGGGGCACTCTAATCCCTATTGGGGAGGAGAAAGTCGCAACGTTAATCCTGTTCAGCAACAATGCCTTTGTGAATTCTCCAAAACGCGCACCGTGCATCAACACTGCTGTGACCCTCAACCCTCAACCCTCAACCCTCAACCCTCAACCCTCAACCCTCAACCCTAAACTTAACCCCAAACCCTAAACCCTAAACCCTAAACCCTAAACCCGAACCCTAAACCCTAAACCCTAGTGACTTGTCGGTCTTGGAACCTCCAACTGCAGCGCCACATTCTGGACATGTAGCCTCCTGATGCGAAGGAAGTGTCTCCAACTGGAACTCTATGTACTGAGATCTATAAATACCCAGAAATATGCACAAAATATACGATCTATATATACCTACATATACCATAGAGGCCCTACACAAGCGTCACCAAAATCCCTTCAATTTCTGTGCCTATAGAATCGGGCCCGGAGAAATCACTTTCTGAACCTCTCTCGGCAACTGTTCTGGCGCATCCTGGCAGTTGAGTCTGCGTTGTGACGGCGTGGTGCAACCGGAAAAAGCTATGGAGAAAAGCTGGCGCTATGGCTTTCTGCCACCGTCGCTCTTAGTCTGCGTCTGCCTCAGACACTTCGACGATGTCTTGGCCTGCTCCTGCGTGCAAAGCAATCAGCACGACGCTGCACGAGCCACACCAAGAGCATCCTGCGTCACGAGCCCGCTCGTCTTCGCCCAAGCCTGCCCACGCTGTGTTTGCTGGAAATCATATCGCGAACACACCCTCAGCTCGGTCCTGAACCGGATGCGTGCTCACCTCCCACAAGTGACCACAAAGCAGCGGCAGCCATATTCAGGCTGCACCGCTAACTGCCTCCCTCAGCTCCCTCCTCAACTTCAAGGACAACCACGTGCTCATTCGGCGCACCTTCCAGCAAAACAAGACACTCACTCTCAATCTCACTCTCAGTCTCACTCTCACTCTCACTCTCCCTCTCACTCTCACTCTCACTCTCACTCTCACTCTTTCCCTCTCACGCTCACACTCACGCTCAATCTCACACTTACTGTCACGCTCACTCTCACGCTCGCTGTCACGCTCACTCGCACGCTCACTCTCACGCTCACTCTCACTCTCACTCGCACTCTCACCCTCACTCTCACGCTCACTCTCACGCTCACGCTCACGCTGCTCACGCTCACACACGCTCACTGACTCTCACGCTCACTCTCAAGCTCACGCTCACGCTCACTCTCACGCTCTCACACTCACTCTCACGCTCTCTCACGTCACGCTGACTCTCACACTGACTCTCACGCTCACTCTCACGCTCACGCTCACGCTCACAGTCGCAGTCACAGTCACGCTCACGCTCCTCGCACTCTCACGCTCACGCTCACTTTCACTCTCACTCTCACTCTCACGCTCACACTCACACTCACGCTCACTCGCTCTCCCTCTCACTCTCACTCTCACGCTCACGCTCACGCTCACTGACTCTCACGCTCACTCTCACGCTCACGCTCACTGACTCTCACCCTCACACTCTCACGCTCACGCTCACCCTCACTCTCACGCTCACTCTCACGCTCACTCTCCCGCGCACGCTCACGCTCACTCTCATCACGCTCACTCTCACTCTCACCCTCACCCTCACTCTCACTCACTCTCACGCACTCACTCTCACGCACTCACTCTCACGCTCATGCACTCTCACGCTCATGCTCACGCTCACGCTGCTCACGCTGCTCAGGCTCACGCTCACGCTCACTCTCACTATCGCGAACACACCCTCAGCTCGGTCCCCAACCGGATGCGTGCTCACCTCCCACAAGTGACCACAAAGCAGCAGCAGGCATGTTCAGGCTGCACCGCAAACTGCCTCCCTCAGCTTCAAGGATAACCACGTGCTCCGCATTCGGCGCACCTTCCAGCAAAACAAGACACTCACTCTCACTCTCTCACTCTCACGCTCGCGCTCACTCTCACGCTCCTGCACTCTCACGCTCACGCTGACGCTCACGCTGCTCACGCTGCTCAGGCTCACGCTCACGCTCACTCTCACTATCGCGAACACACCCTCAGCTCGGTCCCCAACCGGATGCGTGCTCACCTCCCACAAGTGACCACAAAGCAGCAGCAGGCATGTTCAGGCTGCACCGCAAACTGCCTCCCTCAGCTTCAAGGATAACCACGTGCTCCGCATTCGGCGCACCTTCCAGCAAAACAAGACACTCACTCTCACTCTCTCACTCTCACGCTCGCGCTCACTCTCACGCTCCTGCACTCTCACGCTCACGCTGACGCTCACGCTGCTCACGCTGCTCAGGCTCACGCTCACGCTCACTCTCACTATCGCGAACACACCCTCAGCTCGGTCCCCAACCGGATGCGTGCTCACCTCCCACAAGTGACCACAAAGCAGCAGCAGGCATGTTCAGGCTGCACCGCAAACTGCCTCCCTCAGCTTCAAGGATAACCACGTGCTCCGCATTCGGCGCACCTTCCAGCAAACAAGACACTCACTCTCACTCTCACTCTCACTCTCACTCTCACTCTCACTCTCACTCTCACTCTCACTCTCACTCTCACTCTCACTCTCACTCTCATTCTCTCACTCGCACTCTCACGCTCACGCTCACTCTCACGCTCACTCTCACGCTCACTCTCACGCTCGCTCTCACGCTCACTCTCACGCTCATGCTCACGATCACTCTCACTCACGCTCACTCTCACGCTCACTCTCACTCTCACCCTCACCCTCACTGTGGCCCTCACTCTCACGCCCACTCTCACGCTCACGCTCACGCTGCTCACACTCCTGCACGCTCACTGACTCTCACGCTCACTCTCACGCTCACGCTCACGCTCATGCTCACGCTCACACTCTCACTCTCACACTCACTCTCACGCTCTCTCACGTCACGCTGACTCTCACGCTGACTCTCACACTCACTCTCACGCTCACGCTCACGCTCACGCTCACGCTCACTCGCACGCGCACGCTCACCACTCTCACGCTCACGCTCACACGCTCACTCTCACACTCACGCTCACTCTCACTCTCACGCTCACGCTCACTCGCTCTCACGCTCGCTGTCACGCTCCGCACTGTCACTCTCACACTCTCACACTCACGCTACAACAACGCTCACGCTCACGCTCACAGTCGCAGTCACAGTCACGCTCACGCTCCTCGCACTCTCACGGTCACGCTCACTTTCACTCTCACTCTCACTCTCACGCTCACGCTCACGCTCATGCTCACTCACTCTCCCTCTCACTCTCACTCTCACGCTCACGCTCACTCTCACGCTCACGCTCACTCTCACCCTCACCCTCACTCTCACTCACTCTCACGCACTCACTCTCACGCTCACGCTCACGCTCACTCTCGCTCACGCTCACGCTGCTCACGCTGCTCACGCTGCTCAGGCTCACGCTCGCGCTCACTCTCACTCTCACTCTCAAGCTCACGCTCACTCTAAGCCTCACTCTCACGCTCACTCTCACGCTCACGCACTCGCTCGCTCTCACGCTCACTCTCACGCTCACGCTCACGCTCACTCACTCTCACGCTCCTCTCACTCTCACGCTCACGCTGACGCTCGCTCACTCTCACTCTCACTCTGTGACGCTCACGCTCACGCGCTTGCTCACGGTCACACTCGCGCTCACGTGCACGGTCACGCTCACGCTCACTCGTACTCTCACTCTCACTCTCACTCTCACACTCTCTCTCACACGCGCTCTCACACTCTCTCTCAAACCTTGCCGACCCACCTGCAGCTTCAACATCTGGGACGACCGGCACAGGCGGCGCGGCCGGAGCCACAGGAGCAGCAGGCACAGGCGGCGCAGCTGGAGCTACAGGGGCAGCAGGCGCAGCATCACCTCGAGCAGAGCAGCAGGGTTCTGGATTTTGCCTAAGCAGCGCAAGGTTTTGCACCAGCCTTCACGCAACAAGAGGAGCAGGTCTTCTTCACTTAGTTGCCTGGCCGCCTGCACCATAAGAACAGCTGTCGACTGTAGCCCTTTGGGCCTCCCCATCTGTCGCACGGACATGCCTGCAGAAGCCTTGTGCGTCTTTTCTTTAAGTTCTTCTCTTGTAGGGCCAGCGCACGGCTGCGTGCTTTGAACTCTGCACGGCGACGCTTGAGCTCTTGAAGCTCTTGGGTCAGGACCTGGCACATCTGTTGGCACATGTCCATGAAACCACGTCGAAAAGGCAAAGCCAGCCTGCCGAGGAGCCCGCTTAGGAGCCATAGCTACCTGACACAAGAAAAGATGCCAGCTGCTTCAGACCGTACACTTTGCACCGCCTCTGTGTATGTCGCTGCTGAGAACAGTGCGAGGTCACGACTCTACTTGTCTCTTGGCACACTTGAGAAAGTTGCATCACGCAGCAGACTTGCGGCATGGGAACCGTAGGAAACCGCAAGAAACCTGCTGGAAACCGCAGGAAACCTCGACGAAACCCACATAGGCAACCATGAGACATAGGAAACCGCTGGAAACCCACGAGAAACCGCACTGGGAAACCCATAGGAGACCATTGGAAACCTATATGGGAAACCATAGGAAACCGTCGGAAACCAGACGGAAACAAGAAACTGTAGCAAATCTCGTCTATGGGAAACAAAAACAAACGTGAGGAAACCCATAGCAAACCGCAAGAAACCTGCGGGAAACCCATAGGAAACAGCAGGAAACCTCCAGGAAACCCATATAAGCAACTATGGGAAACCAGAACAAACGTGAGGAAACCCATAGGAAACCGCAGGAAACCCACGAGAAACAGCAGGAAACCTACAACAAACGTGAGGAAACCCATAGGAAACCGCAGGAAACCTCTGGGAAACCGTAGGAAACCGTCAGAAACCAGACGGAAACCATCGGAAACCCCCTTAGAGGGGACGGATTCACCCTTTGCGCAATTACAAAAGGTTAATGCAAGGGGAAGGGGGATGCAAGTCGCGTCCGAGCAAACGCACGGTCCACCCAATGCTGTTGCAGTATTATACTCCCAGTTCCGCTCAAAGGGTGAGATGGTCACTGGGACAATTTTTTTTTGCATAGCACACAACTTATGGGGCAAGCCGAAGCTTCGGTACTTGAGCCATGGGAATGAGAGGTCGTGCTCCTTCAAGGTAACACTTGGCCCCGGTAGGAAGAACATCCAAAAGCACGTTGGCTTGGAGCCACTCCGATGTCCTGAAAGGCTGAGAATCCACGTCAGCATCCAAAGTGATGCACACGGGTATACTCCAAAGGAACACGGGGTAAGAGTAATTCCAGTGGCTGACTCTCCCAACACGTGTCCACATTGGCCTGCAGCAGCGCCCGATATTTCAGCACCAAGGACCACTCTACCAGGTTGTCCAAGATGAGGGCATCGTGGTGACCATACCGGAAGCTCTGCAAGTTCAAGACCTCCTGGCCCTGGATAGTCACAACAAAGGGCGACTTGAACAAGGATTTTACGAAGGATGTCTTGGCTGCTTGCGACGGTCCCTGCAGGGCGTGAGGGGGTAGCGCCGCCTCGTGTCCACCCCGTAGTGGCGGCAACATTAGGGACCCGCCGCCTGGCGTACGACGTCCACCCAGCCCCCGGACACGGCCCACGCACACAGCATCTCCGGATGGGATTAGGACGGTTGAGGCGTCACAGCCCCCTTGCGCTAAGTCTCCCACGGACTCACTTGGCCTGACGGAACCAAAATCGGATCTCCCTATGCCTCCCCATGGCCTGACGCCCATCCCCGCCAGGCCTGTGCCCGCTGTCCAAGCTCGCAAGGAAAGTCGGCCTCTCGCTTTGGACGAAGACGGCTCTCAGCAGCTGGAACCACCAAAAGCCAAGCCTCGAGGGCCTAGCGAGCCCAGCGGCACCCGCGATCCCAGCGCCCCAGCCTGCGCACCCATCATGCAGAGCAACACAGTCTCGGTCTGTGATCTCATGTGGCGCGCACTTGCAGCGGGACATCACTTTGGTAAGAATGTCAAACCTCGGCCCTACATGAACCTGCGTGACTCGCAACACCTCACAACACACTGCCAGCAGCTTCGGGCATATAGGGCCTATGAGGTGTTTTTGAACGGCATACCGAACCAGCTGCAAGACTCGGATATGCTGATCGGAATCGCTGACACGCTACTGCATCTGCCTGAAACGTTTCCGGCAGCGTATTTGAAGGTTTATGACCCTATCATCACGCAGTGCCTTAGATTGTCGGGGGCATTGCAGCATTTCGACCTTGCTGAAATGTTGGATTGCCCGGTCCCGCAGCTGGACAAAGCAAGGCTTTCGGAGTCCCTGGTGGGGTATGGCTTTCTTACCACAGCGCAGTACATCGCGGATCTTTTCTCTGCGGTGTCGGACTTGCCGAGTGTCATCAATGCCAGTTTTCCTGCAATGCTCAGCTACGCTGACCCAGATTATTGGCTGGGTGCACTTCTGCTCGCATTCGAGTCCCACCAAAAAGGTCCCCTGGAGCGTACGGCAGGGCTGCCCATTGTTATTGGTTTTCCCGAATCTGACAATAAAATTACTGACCTGCAGATCAATGTGCCGCCTGCAGCCATGGTGGCCTTCTTGGCTGGCCGCGCTTATCGGTGTCCCACGTGCCCTGCTACCAGATATGTGATGGACGCGCACAGTGGACTGCCACAAGTCACTGGCCAAGCCTCCCAAGAAGCCTTGCAGGCATGCGGCCAGGCTTGCCCAGCCCAGCCTGAATACGTTCCTAGGCATCACGCTGCAGGGCACACAGACACTTGGGCAAAGGCACTATCAAGAATTTAGGCCGGACCTCCCCCCTGCCCATTTCCTTGACGCCATCCGGCTTGCTCTTGCGGCCTCGGTGGCCAACCAAAACATTGAACATTTTTGGTCAGTTTTTAACTTGGAATGGCCTGACACTTCTCACAGAATGGCTGTTTTTCTACGGTGAGCGTTGCCCCTAGAGTGCTTGCTCTCCTCGCCCTGTGCTGCGCCTGTGGAAGCAAACACTGCAGCAACCTCGCCGGAGGTCGTCAGCATCTCTTCCGAAACTAACGAAGGCTCTCCCTGCCCGATGGATGACATGTCAGACGCAGAGGACTTTTTTTTTTTTGGACTGGCGCCTCTTTACTACATCAGTAGCACAGTAGGCCGGTCTTGTTGGGCTCGACATAAAGGGTGAAACAGAGTCAGCGCACACAACCCGCCAGACACAACACGCAACCACAAAGCAAACAGACACCGAAGAAACAAAGCGAGCAATCGCGCTAAACTACTAGATACCCCACGGACTCAGTACTCGAAGTCGTCAATGAAGTCCCGGTTCACAAGGAAGCACAGAGCTTGTGGGGGAATCGCAAATTGCGACATTGCCAGATTCTCAAAACCACCATCATGTAGCCACTGGTGCGACAGCGGTTATTCAAACCGGGTCATCAGAAGAGGTTCGGATCACATACTCGTTGTCAAAGACAGACAACCGACACTCAATGGCGAAAGGATGTTGCAAGTCAGACTCCCTAGGAGGGATGAAAGATGTGCATATGCCCCATGGTGGTCAGCCAGTGGGGACTTAACAGCAAGAACAATCAAGGCAAGACCGGCCCAGGGCACTCCATGGTGGTCAGCCAGTGGAGTAGCTCCGAGCACAGGGTTCTCCAGTCAACCTGGCGTACAAGTGCCCACCCAGAGAGGTGCCCGCGCACGGCCAGAGGGGGGGCGAGAGTAGCAGCAGCTACCGATTCCACGGGGAGAGTCCACAGCGAGTTACCAAACCCTTGACGCCACAGGGTTTATAAGGACAACGAGGAACTTCCCAGTCCAGGCATCTCACACAAGGCCACGCAACCTTGGCGCTGGCCTGCGCATCGGCACGCATCAGGTCCCTCCAAACCCAAACCCGCGAGGTACGTCGGTAAGGAGATGGGAGGGCTCACATCACATTGGTGCCGAAGTGCAAGGATCTCCATGGTATTGCTACTTTGATCCAATCAGAGCCTTCAGGTAACATCCACGCGGGCGGGGAGCCCACTTGCCCTGCCGCAGGCCAAGCTCAGACGAGGATGACCCTCAAGAGTCTCAAGAGGGCCAGGTTGTTCTACAAGTGGGGAATGGCTCCCTGCCAAGTCAGCGGGTGCATAATCTCCACGTAGAAGTGTCCACAGCCAGCGCGCCGAACTGCTAGGTCACCCTGTGCACTCAGTACTCGAAATCGTCGAAGAGGCCGGGAGCACACATGTGGCACCGAGTGCGCAGGTGCGTCGCAAAATGCGACGTGGCCAGATTCACAAAACCACCATCATGCAGCCACCGATGCGAATACATTCAGCACCAGCCAAGGCCGTTCACGAAAAGGTTCACAAGTCCGCCAGCACAGGCGGGGCATAGGCGTGCCTTGGCACGGGACGTTGCAGGTGTCAACCTTCTTGATCCGAAGTATAAAGTTGCCCCACGGTGGTCAGCCAGTGGGGACTTAACGGCAAGAAATAAGGGTAGGACCAGCCCAGAGCACTCCATGGTGGTCAGCCAGTGGAGCCTCTCCGAGCACAAGGCGCAACGTTCTTTTGACTCACAAGAGTCTCGTCCGACGGCCAAAGCAGGCTTGACTGCTTCGTTCCAATCAGAGCCATCAGGTAAACCAAAGCAGGCGGGGACCCAACCTGCCCCGCAGGAAGCGGGAGAGTCCCCCAGTCGAAACTTCGCACTCAAGGCCAAGCAACTATCTCCTTGGCCGGTGAGGGTTGAGGGTTCAATACCCAGAATCAGACCCTCCATGCCCAAACTGACAGACGTCGGCGAGGAGATGTGAGGGCTCACATCACGCTTGGCCACCTACCGTTGGGGAGGTAGTCATGTATGGCTGCTTGGACGCAAGCAGAGATATACACCCAAGCAGGCAGGGAACCCCGCAGCAACCCAGGCACAGGCGAGAATGGCTCTCGTGAAGGCCAGGTTGTCCACAGGTGCTCGATGGCACATTGCCAGGGGAGTGGAAACCTGATCTCCGCATAGAAGTGTCCACAACCCGGAAGCAGCATCCCCTAGCTGGTCTCTCCCAATTGGCATGACGCCGTTGTACGACAAGGGGGTGTCACCGTCCAGACGAGAGATGGTCAACACTCAAGTCCGAAGAGTTCACACACGGTCGTAGCACATAGAAGCAGGCAACCTGCCCATCTAGAGGGGGCAGAGGAAAGGAAGATTGGCCGTTTTACCGATGACAAAGCTGGAACATCCAGGCAGGACCGGTCCAGGGTAGTCCGTGGCA